CCCCAAAACCCCAAAACCCCAAAACCCCAAAACCCCGCAAGAAGTAGCGGTTATTGAAACTTATTATCAATTTTCTTGAAGCCAAACTTGCCATTCTTGGATATCTGCGCCTGCATCCCATTCGATTTCAAAAGGTCTAGGAGCGCTTTCGATTTGAGCTGAGTGAACTTGGTCAGGTTAGGAGCAATATTCTCCTGTTCTTCTTGGGATTCAGACTCTTCTTCATCACTCTGGCTCCCTTCATCCTTCTGAGTTGTGTTGAACTTATCATATTGATACATGTAAAACTTCTTAAGTTGGGAAAGTACCTTGGCATTTTCACACTCAAGTTCGTGAATTTTTGAGAATATTTCAGAATTCTTTGTTGAGAAGATCTCACAATCCTTCTGTACAGATTGGATCTTTTGGTCAAACTCCGCCTTGATTTTCTCGCTGGTCTCTTTAATTGTATGAACAATGCCTTCCATTGTATCACAAATATCAACCATTTTAGTATCAATTTCAGGGATTTTCTTCTTAAACGGCTCATAAGCAGCCAATTTCTCCGTCAATTTTGGTATGATTTTCTTATAAATTTTGGTTTCGAGCTGAGAATTGTGTTTAGTAATGTTAGCATCTACCTTTTCAAGTCCTGCACTGAGGTTGACAAGTCTTTTAGCATTGTTATTCTCCAAAGTTAAGATATTCTTAGTCAAATTCTTCACAGTTTTCTCTAATATTTCAGTCCTCTTCTTGAGGTCATTATAATCCTCCTGTCCTACACAAATAATTTGAGGAAATTACCGAGATTAGCTTCAATCTTTTTCTCATCGTATTTTAAGTCAAGGATCTCTTTGGACAACACCATCTTTTCTTCAGTGTTACTAAGTCTCAGTTCAAATTGGTCGAGGCGAGCTAGGATCCTAGAGAACGCATTTTCCTGCATCTGATGTAGAAGGTTCTCTGCTTGGTATGTATCTTGACTGATGTCAAAATTATGCATCCTTTGAACTCCTGTCTTCCAAGATGGCAAGGCAGTATTTAAATTTGGGTTAATCACAGGAGCAGTTTTGTTAATCTCTCCAGATCTAGACTCAAAATCAGATGTCAAGTTTTGGTTTAACATAGATGCATTCCTCTCTTTGGACTCCCTATTAGTGTTGTGGGTCAGGTTTTGTCTTATCACATCTTGCAACAGCATATGATTCTTGGGAGCCTCACGAGTCTGTGCCATGCATTTAAAGTTAAAAGTATCAAAATTGCGCTGGTAAGAGGCATTTTGGTCACCTGTATTCTCCGTCTGATATTGGAAATCCGATTCTCATCTTGATTGAGGGTTGAAAGCATTCAGAAGAGAACTATTATCAAGAAGCTTGGCAGAAATTTCTTTATTTTTAGAAGCTATAGAGTTAACTTCAGTCCTTACTGTTTGCAATATCCTTCTCTGCGATCCCTCTTGTTGGGATTTGCTCAAAAGAATTACTCGTGTTAATCATTCTGCTTCCCTATACATTCTGGTCATATCCTTACCTTCAACAGGTCATTCTCAAACTGTGCGTTACCGAAATTAATAAGGTCACTGTTATCTACTGAAGATTGATGCTCTAAAGTCTGAATTTCTCTATAACCCCTAGGCTTACCTTTTGCGGACATTTTATTTAAATTTAAATTCAATTTGTGTCCGGGAAAGGGGTTTTGGGGTTTTGGGGTTTTGGGG